TAGGAGACAGGGATACGAGAAAGGCACAGTTTACACTAAGCTTTTGGTTCAGTTTGAGTTTATTAACTTTTGGGGATGGAGTGAAGCCACCCATGTACAAACTGAGGACTAATGACAGGGTGGGGCTCCAAAAGTCAGCACTGGCACCTCACTGTGCCAACTACTCTGTCCCCAGGGCACTGCCAGCCAGCTGTCTCCTCCCCCATTTCCAAGGCACCAGGGTCAGAGTCACCACCTTTCCACCAGAATGGGGCTCTGTCTGCTCAGACAGGCCACTAAGGACAGCGGTCGGCTGGGGAGCCTGAGACAGAGCAGGAGCTGAAGAGGAACGAGACCTCACAGGGGACCTGGTTGGGGAAACGACTGCCCGCCCAGCCTTTTCTCCCTAAAAACAGTTTGTGAAGCTCTAGGGAGGCAGGGAAAGCAAAGAAAAAAATGTGAATATCGTATTTCTAACCACACTCAGGGCTGGTATGGAGGGGCCTCAAGGCTCTGGGGTCGCTGGAACTGGAGCAAGGGGCAGGGGGAACTGAACAGGGAGGGAGGAGTTGGCAAACAGGCCTCTGGGATGGGGACTGCAGACAGGAAATGCATAATCCCTACGTCTGTAGTGGTCAGCACTGACCCACCATTTGTTTGTTGGGTCAAGACTAAAACACATAAAACAAGGTTTTTTCTTCTACGGAAGATGAGGTGATGAAATGGAGAAAGTAGAAAACAGGGATATGAAAGTGAAAGAAGTAGGAGTCAGGTCAGTGTACAAGAGCCAAGCTACTTCTGGGCTTCACATATAGGTCAGAGCTACCTGGCAGCCAATGGGAAAAGGGAAATATTTCATTGATATATTTCATAGGATCCACGAGATGAATATGAAAGCATCTGCTCAGGAGATACCCAGCTCTTCTTGACCCTGAATTCAGCATGATATTTCTCCTAAGGGGTCTCCTAGGGAGCCCTGAGCTGTCTTCCTATCCCTAAGACCCCATGCCTAATAAGCCCAAGGACAAGTTTCCTGGGGCTGTGTTCTAGGACATCCCTCAAGGTAAGCAGCGTGCCAGCGCATAATCCAGCCAATGCAACCTTGCAGATGAGGCGATCTGGTGACCAGACTTAGCCTCCGTGGTCTGGGTCAGCCCAGGGAGCCTGGAGGCATGAGTGCCTCCCTGAGGGGTCATGCCCCTAACACTGTGATGTCTACAGACCTTCTCCCCAGTATCTGCACCAACACAAACATGGTGTTTATGTACAATCGCTCGAGTCCCTGGGCCCCACGGCCTATCCACAGACCCCACAGGCAGAACCAGTACATCCTTCAGCGACCTCCAGTGGGGGCGAGTTCTCACAATCCTGGTGCCAAAGACAAGCACAAGGAGGGACTGGTCCGCTGACTTCTCAGCAGCAGCAGAGCTCCTCGGCTGCCTCCTCTGAGCTTCTGTGTCTCCAGAGGTCACGTCACTCCAGTGACCACACGTGATGAAACTGGGGACACCGTTCCTGGGAAGGGGCAGGCTGGGTGGTGGCTGGGTCCGGACTTGACTCCCACTGTTGGGGCTTTACCGCTATGAGACCCTGGTCAAGGCACTTGCCCTCTACAGGTCTCAGTTGTCCTGATCCATGAAATGAGACCGTCGACCACAGAATATTTCAGATATTTGGGTTGTGAGACAGAAAGCTGATGGATGCCAACAGCTTAGCACAGTGCTGGGCACCAAGCAGTACTGGGAATCCTGAGTGTGACTTCTAGGGCAGGGGTGGGCAAACTTTTTGACTCGAGGGCCACAATGGGTTCTTAAACTGGACCGGAGGGCCGGAACAAAAGCATGGATGGAGTGTTTGTGTGAACTAATATAAATTCAAATTTAACCTTCAAACAGGGAGCAGTGGCCTGGGAGTGTTGAAGGAAGTGAAATGTTAAAGGTTCCCCCACTGAAGCTCACCCTGCCTGTGTGCTTGCTGTTTGGGGTCCTGCCCTGAGCCCAGCCAGTCAGCGGGGTCCCAGCTCCCGGCCTGAGGAAAGTTTTCCCCAGCTGTGGGGAGAGTGACTGACCTCATGGCACAAGGCCCAGTGTGCCCGGCACCTCTGGGGGGATGAGTCAGAAGGGCCAGTTCCCTCGGGCCAGTCTTACAGCCGGCCTGGCGGGTGGTAGGCGGAACACTCTGCCCCGACCCTGGGCCGAAGGCCCGGTTTCCTGTCCTCCCTCCCCTCCCCAGCAGCCATGGTCAGAGTGGGAATAGTACTGAGGCCTCACCCGCTAGACACCGGGGCTTGGCCCCATCCTCCCATTTTCAAGGATGGAAAACCACCAATAGGAGCTCAAGTACAGGCAGCTGCTGCCAGAGGGGTCGGGAGGAGGGCCATCTGTCCCTGGATCTCAGAGTCTCCGGTCTCAGAGCCACCTGCATAAGGCCCAGCTGGCCCCTGGGGAGAAGGGAGGCTCACCTGGCCTTTGGGCTCTGGCACAGGATGGAGGGGCTACGGGAATGGATACTCAGAGATGATCAGGGTCCCAGCTCCCATCAAGTGGGCCCTTACCACGGGTACAACTGCCATCTTTCACAGGTGAGGAGCAGTGAGGGGGCTGGTCCAAGCACGCGCAGCTCATCTGTGGCTCATCCTGCAGCCAGGATTCAAGCTCAGCTCCGAGCCCTGGACTTCTCCTTGACCCTAACCACAAAGGTAAGCCTCCAGACCCCACCCAAGAGCAAGAGCATCGCCCAGCACCTGGAGACCAGGAGGGAGGGCCACCTTCACCTCGGCTTTTACCCGAGCGCAGACATGGGCTCATCCAACCAACGCCCATTGACCGACCATCTCCGAGGATCAGGTCCCTGGGTGTCAGCCGGAGAGATGGGAGGCTGCCCATGGCCCTGCCTGCCTGGTTCCCTGGCACACCAAACAAGTCTGTGCCCTCTTGCCACTTCCCAGGGGGTCTTGTCTGCCGAGCTGAATAGCAAAAAGGAAGATTATCACAGATTAGAAGGGACCTGCCTGGCGTGGCACCTGATAGGCAGCAGCCAGCACACCCCCGCCCTGCAGCTCCGGGCTCCAGGACTGGCTAGGAGAGTCCAGGGAGGAGTGGGTGCTTTCGTGGCCCAGGAGCCCAGGAGTGCTGAAATCCTGTGCAGCCAGAGGACACCACGCACGTCTTTATGACCACCTGTTCTGAAGGGTCTGGACTGGGACTCAGGATTGGGCTCAAGGTCCAGAGAAGGCCCTCCTGCTCCCTAAGCTCAGAATTTCCCCGCAGCCCTCAGCTGGTCACACAGATGC